TGAACTGTACCTGATTTTATATATTTTTTTTGGTGTTTTTAAATTATTTCAAGTTGAATTCAAGTATATTGGTAATGTAATTACTATTTATGAAGTGTACCTGATTTTATGTATATATATTTTTTTCTAGATCCATTACGAAAAGAAAATTGTTTTAGTACTGTATATATTATATGAGTGAATATAGGCCTCCTGAGGAACCGAACACCGAAAAAAGATCGGCAACGCATCTAGATTGCAACCTCAGAGGTGGTGAATCTTTTCTTTCATATTTTCCATTACAATATACACACAAAATTCACAAAAAAGTTATTATACTACATTCCTGCCTAATGGCAGATTTCGATCAGGTGTTCTCAGCCGATTATTTTCTTACTTGTAGGTTTATACAATGTTCCCGTTGACGTACATACATAAAATATGTGTGCACTTCTGCACGTCTTCTCCTTTCCAACGGTATACATTTTATCAAAATATATCAACGGCAAAACGGGGACACAAACTTTTTTGTTAGCGTAATTATATATATGGTAGATGACATATACATTAATATTTATTTTTAATTGAATAAAAACACGACTTTATGTTTGATAAGATAATTAATCACTGTAAATATATTCACTCATTCTAAAAAAGAAAAAATTAACTATTACAAAAGAAATCGATTTTGATCGGTCAGTTTGTATGGTAGCCAAATGCTATAGTAGTCCGATTTCAACAATCTTTTTAGAGATTGTAACGTTGCCTTAAGCAATAAGTGCCAAATTTCGTCTCTCGTCAAATAAAAACGCTTTCCATATAAGGATATGATTTGGATAGTTCAGTTTGTATTGCAACTATATGTTACAGTTGGCCGATATCGGTCGTTCCAAGATATAAGCAACTTCATTGTGAGGAAAGAATGGTCGTAAATTTTCATATCAATATCTCAAAAACTGAAGGACTAGTTCACATAGATAGACGGATGACAGACCGACATGGCTAAATCGACTGAGCCCGTAAACTTAATATACCTTGTTCAGGGTATAAAAAATAATACTCGTAATGGATCCAATGTAGCACAACAATATGTTTGTATAATGTGACACTCCCTTTACACCATAAATATTGTATGACAAAAACCACAAAAAAAAAAGTATAAACATTGAAAAAAAAATATGATTAAATTGAAATTGACTACAAATATAAGTTTAAGCGGCAAATATATATACTTCCCGCCAAAATTAACATTAATCATCACCAAACAATTACAAAGTAAAATGGATCTATAAAAACCTTACCTCGTCTTTCGCGCGATCTGCCTCATACTGCTGTATTAAATCTTGGCAATCCAAATTTTCTACAGGTTCCCAAGTATTTTCTTCTTCAGGATAACCTTTCCATTTAAGGAAATATTCAACCTACAATGTATTCCAAAAGTTTTTAGTATCAATATTATTAATATATGTATATACATAAAAGCAATTTACATATATTGATGTGGGGATGATAAACTACTAACCTTTCCTTTACGCACGCGGCGCCCACAAATTTTTTCGACCGCATACTCCTCTTCTTCTGATGACTCGGCAGCAGCGTCTGTAGCAGTCGCTGATTCATTTTTCTTTGATTTCATATTTGACTGGGTAGATTTTGTACTTATCAGAATGTCGAAATAAATCGAAGAAATATTATTTATCCTTCCTATTTGTAAACAATAAAAAACATCGAGTTCGAATGCGTCGTATTTCAATTGTAAAATTGCATATCAGTATGAAATCGGTACAGCAACGTCGTTAAATGCATTAATATCCAGGCAATGTATAAGTGATTATATCATTAGAAACACTCAAAATATCATTTATAAACAAGGTTTTACTCACAATTCTTGTGTGGATAAAATGTTCAAAATATTTTCACCTAAAATTAACTTTATCGGCAAACAAATATTTGCACACCATTAAAAGTTGCACTGTTTAGAAGAAGAAACGAACTCGGCGTGGAAAATGAAGCGCAAAAACGTTATGGAAGGCAACGCTCCAAAATTCAGGGTTGCATTGTGACATATTTTCAGTGTTGGAAAAGTACAAATAATAATCGAAAATAACCGAAGAACAATTAGTTAATCTCTTTGATTTATATAAATCAAAACGAAGTGAAATGCAACCAAAAGAGTAATAAAATACAAAAACTCTTTTTACTCAATACTCCTAAAAATAAAACATCCTAAAGATTGAATTAATAAAGAAATGATATCATGTAGTATAAAAATTATATACACGAATATGGAATTGCAACAGTGCATCTCACATTCAGGCGTAGCTCTTAATTATTTCGAGGGGGCTCTATCCCAAGGATGAAATGATGCGAGACTCTTTGAATCGAGAGAAAGCTGTCAAAACTCACATGTTTTATAACATTTTCCAATCATGCCACTGTCGAAAGGAAATAGATTGGGTATTATAAAAAAAGCTTTTGGGTATTTTGCATATCGATATTATTTTTAGGTTCTCCGTCCCCGAGTATGCCTATATAACGCATATACATCCCTATATACGTGTATTTATATTATAAAATTTTTAAAAACTCATATAACATAAAAAAATAGCATATAAATAAAAAAAATTATAACAAAGAAACAATACAAGTCATAATAAACGATCATGGTTTTATGATGAACGTTTTAAATTAAATTAACAAATAAAATTTAGTTGAACGTTACTCAAAAGTATTGGTGTCGTTCCTGGAAATTTCGTTTCGCACTGCTTTTGTTAGCTATTTTTAGCGGGTTTATTTCTGGCATCCCGCCTTTTTTGACATCAGCTGTTCAAAATTCCCAGATTTTAATAATCAGGGAAAGAGAATAACAGAAAAATCAGCGAAAATGAGAGAGTCTAGCATCATGTCATCCTTGTCTATCCTGCAATAGCAAGCTTTGAACCCTATAGAGGGTATATCATTAATTGAAATATCTGAAAATTTAATTAATTCGTGCGGTTTTCTAAGAGAGGGCTCTACTAGTATTATTTTGCGTCGTGTTCGTCTGTGGCTATATTCATTTCAAAGGTACCGTCATTTCGCGTCGTTTTTAGTAGATGTCATTTGTTTTAGCGTGAACAACAATTTGTTTCATACATTTGAAAATGTCGGAATTTGTACCAGATAAAGTGTTTTTGCGGGGAGTTCTTCTTCATTACTTTAACATGAAGGAAAGTGCTACCGAAAGCCATCGTATTTTACTGGACGTTTATGGTGACCATGCTTTAGCCGAACAAACGTGCCAAAAGTGGTTGGCACGGTTTAAAAGTGGCAATTTCGACTTAGACGACCCGGACAACCAAAAAAAACTTCAAGACGAAGAATTGGAGACATTGCTCGACGTAGATGCATGCCAGACGCAAGAAGAACTTGCAAAAATATTAGGAGTTGATCAAGCAACCGTTTCCAGACACTTAAAATCATTAGGATTCATTCAGAAGCTTGGAAATTGGGTGCCTTATGAATTAAAGCCAGACACGTCGAACGTCGATTCTGCATGTCGAAAATGTTGCTTCAACGCCACCGAAGGAAGCCATTTTTGCATCGGATTGTCACTGGCGATGAAAAATGGATTCATTATGATAACCCATCACCATCGACATCCACCGCAGAGCCGAATATCCATGGTGCCAAGGTTATGCTATGTATTTGGTGGGACCACAAGGGTGTGCTCTGTTATGAGCTATTGAAATCGGGTCAGACGATCGATGGGGACCTCTACCGAAAACAATTGAGTTGTTTGAAAAAGGCCATCAGGGAAAAACGACCAGAACATGCGGCGAGAAACGAACCAATATTTTTTCTTCATGACAACGCTCTTCCACATGTTGCAAGGCCAGTTAAAAAATATTTGGAATTCTGTAGGTGGGAAGTTCCACCTCACCCGCCTTATAGCCCAGACATAGCACCTTCCAATTACCACTTGTTCAGATCAATGCAGAATGCCCTCATCGGAGTACGCTTCACTTCAGAACAGGGTATCAGAAATTGGCTCAATTCTTTCTTGACTTCCAAGCCGAAGGAATTCTTTTACGATGGGATCCACGAACTGCCAGAAAGATGGGCAAACATCGTAGCTTCCGATGGGCAATACTTTGAACATTAAATGTATAACAATTTTTCACAATAAAGTCTTAATTTTCAAAAAAAAAACCGCACGAATTAGTTTTTTTTTTAATTACACATAATACCTAATCTCTTAATCTCTGAAATTTTCAACATTAAATTTAAATAACTCTCATTTTTTAACATTTTCTGCTAAATAATGCACACAACTTGTATTAGACTTTTGCTTATAGTTTATTATATAATTAATTATCGTACTATCATCAAAGTTTTTTTTTTTTTTTTTATCAATGTGCTTTTCTTGTTGATTTTTTATATCCCCTTTCAAATATTTCATTTTCAATTTTTACAATTCCCTTTCATTAAATGAGTACATTTGTTGAAAAATTCTTTACATACACAAGTTTAGCTAACATTTCCTCCATTCACTCTTTTTGGGTGCTATACGGTAATTTTCACCATCTGTTGCACACGATTACAGAATTTGTGAACTAAAGTTATGTGGTACTATAAAAAAAACATTTGTCGTATAAATTTCTCAATTGAAAATCGGGGAAGGATAATTGCTACGGAATTGTAGCATTTTTACAGTACTTATTGGATTTTCTGATCTACTCTGCTCTTATAGAGCATATTGAAATTTACTGTACATATTGCCATACTATTAAGCAGCAATTTTTTTTTTTTAATTTCATACTTTTGTATTGTGTTGATTTTGTAGATTTATATTTTTCGTGAGTAGCATTACTGCACCGCAAACTCTATAAAGCGAAATATTGTTGTAGTTTCAGTAGTCAAGTCATCCTCAACATGAACACATTTGTTCCTAGAAGTCTGTGTACCGCTGCCGGAGGTTTTGACGCTTCGCCACAAAGTTCATCTAATCAAAAATTATTGTTTTAAATATAAAAATGTTTTTACTCAATTTCTTTTTTACAACTCACTAAACGCGTCTGACGTCTTTCACGACATTGCTCATACTGATGCAGCAAATTGGGGCATCGCAAACTGATGAATTCTTCGGTTTCCCAAAATAAGCCAGGCCGATCTACATAACGCAGCAGGAACTCCACCTAGTAAAATTTAGGAATAATTACAATTTCAAATAGCTAATAGCAAATTATTATCACCTTTCCACATTTATTTTGTTTGCCTAAAATACACGCAACACCATTCTCAGGGAACTCTTGTACACAAAATTCTTCCTCGTCATCTTCTGATGTTTCTACAACTTGTGGTAAATCTTCTTCTTCTAAGAGGCCGCTTTGAGTAGTGACATTACTTTTATCGAAGGAACCAGCAAATGTTAACGGATGTTCCTTTAAGTAATCCTGCGCATCCTCTATCGTTTGGGCTATACTGAAAGTACCTTCCTCTTCCAAATCATCCTCCTCATCCAATTCCATTTCATCCTCAGCTGAAGTACCTCGCTGACTACTACCTGACGAGTCATCCCCTGCTCCGGCAACACCGCTACTGCCAGAGTTGCTACTTTCAGCCTGACTCGTTTTCAGCTTTTTCTTTTTTTTGGGAATTACTCTATTTCCACCATCATTTTCCTTAACATCTGGATGAAACCGCACTTTTTTTGAGCGATGATCATTTTCGTCTTGAGCACTGACACCGGAAACTGACGCCGCAGCTGCTGCCGCCGCCGCCGCCGCGCTAGTACTAGGACCTAACGAATATAAAGCCGCCGTCGCTTCATCGACGGACGCCTGTTCACACTCCGGCGTAGACGAAGCTGATGAAGCCGAAGATGCGGACGAGGTGGAATTAGTGTCGTCTGCTAATGCTTTCTTATTCGCACATTCAGCTAGAGTTGTTTCCTTGAGGTTCTTGGAGATCTGCTTAACTTTTGTTTCAAAGGCATTACTATTGTTGCTGTTGCTGCTACAATTACTGCTGCTATTGGAGCTATATTCACTTGGCGCTTCGGCAGCATCGTTTACTGTATTGTTGGAAATGGCTATTTTTTCATTGCTAATTGCGGACGTATTACCTTCTGCCATATCCGAGTTTAAATTGTCAATATTAACTATTTCGTGCGCAACAAACACTTGTGCGGTGTTTGTATCATTTGCAATTTCGTCTATGTGAATTCTTTTATCAAATTTCCCGTCAATGAGACTGTTATTCTCATCGAGACTATCGCATACGGCATCGCCTGCACTTTTCTCAGTCTTGTTTTGGGAATTAATGGAAATTGCAGGTCGATTTTCAGCTTCAATATCCGATTTTTGTTTATCATTTCTATCGCTAATGCTTTGCGCTGTCAGCGCTGTATTCGCTGTTGAACCCTCACCTTGTCCAACATCATCTACTACACATTTCTTCTGTAAAGACTTATCCAGCGAATCACTGCCAGCCGAATCGTCATTTTTGGCGTCCATTCTAATTGGCGCCGTTGCAATAAGTCCAAGTGCACTTGTTGTTACCAAACCAATCGCCCCGCACCACACCGTGTCTTGATAAACAGTTCCTATTCAAACCTGCCGAATACCCTATCGTATTGGGACTACGAACGAAGGTATTGACACACGTAGTACCTCAATGATGTAAATGAATTTTCGCCAATGTTTGTTTTTATACGTTTCCAGACCATAAAACACGTCAGCGGTATTTTTCCTTTAAATTTTTGTGGGCTTTTGTATGTAATTTACGTTTCTGGCCTAATTTTCGTTTGATTCATGCAGCAAGAGGTGAAACTTTGTTTAAAATGTTTTTGACGTTTATTCGTGATTTTTTGACACCGCTTAACGAAGATGACACAAGGCATAAACAGCGAAGATAGATGCAAAATGAAATTTAGAAATATTGCATATGTTGCTAGAGGTTGAAAATGTTGAAAGAAACTGAAAATGTTGATAGGTAGAAAAGAGGCGTTGCATAATGGCTACATAAAAGGGTTAGAACTCTTTTAAGGTTTGGAAAAAATTTGCATAAATCATGCTCGCTGCGGAAAAATCAATTTAAAATCCAAAACGAAAATTAAAACCGTATTTACTTTTAGGTTCCACAATTTCCATTTAAAATTGTAAAGAGCTCTTATTGATAGTTTGGCGATAGTTGATATGTTTAATTTTATTAATTTTTTTTTATAATTAAAGTTAATCAATAAAAGGATATACCGAAGTATTAGATTATCCACAGAAAATGTTATGCTATCATCATTATATTATCATCTGAAAGTACCTAACGATTTAAACAGTTGATTGATATGATTTCTTAGCAATACTACGAGGTTTGTTCAAAAATTAGAGCGAATTTTGAATTTTCCCGGGCAACGTTTATACAATTTTCGATTGTTTTGTTGCGTTATGTTGATGTGCATATCCCCTACTTATCACGACAAGGTCGCCATTTCGAATGTTTACTTAATTTTTGACAGCTATTTTGAAGAGAAGCGTGTTGGTTCGTCTTAGATTTTTGCTTATTCCAAAAAATTGGTTCAAGAAACTTGTATTAGATTTGTGTGTAGAACAATATTAAATACGCGGACACATTCCGAATGTTGACTGTGGCATTTGGTGAAGCTACCTTAGACAAAAGCGATGTTTAACGGTGGTACAAAATGTTAGCTTGGCAACTCAACCAGATAACTTAGAAGTTCTCTGACTCAACAACAGACCAAAAACCTCGTAAAACCGAATACCGCCAAAAAAGTCAAATAATCGAATACTCTTTAAATCGATTAAAAAGCCAAAGAACGCTAATTTTATATATTAAAATTTCAAGATGATAATCTGTTCTCCTATTATAAAAATAAAATTCGTTTTATTTCTCCTTCAATTTTTTATTTGTTTTATTAAAAAGTTTAGAGTAATTTAGTCAAAGAAAACAATTTGCTTATATAAAATACGCTTATTAGTAAAAAAAATAATAGTTTTTAAGTTCAAATTTTCAGATAGACTAGACAATTTACTTTTTGCTTGCTTAGCAGAATTTACATTAAAAACTTGTTATGCAGTTAAATGTATTTTAAATAAATTAAGACAAAAGAAATTAAAACTATTAAATAAGTAAACACTGAGAATTTCAATGAATGCTTAGAAAACGTTCAACGACGAAGTTTTCAAAAAATATATTTAACTTCAAAAATAAATAATTTAGAAAAGAAATACTTTTTTTGCGAGATAAACGTTAACGCGTTTAATACGACTTTGTTTTTTGGTTTTGTAGAAAGAAACGAAAGGCAATAAAGTTAGTAGTAAAGCAGTACTCAAAATAAAATCATTTAAATAACATTGAAAAACGTAAAATAAAATGTATTATTGCAAAAACACGTATGTATTCATATATATATACATTTTACAAAAAACGCGCATGTGTAAAAATGAGGCACATTTGAATGAATCGTTTTCTTAATTGAGTTATACAAAAATGAAGGATAAATAGTTTTACGTTATTACAACATAAATAACAAGTTCATTTCTTTTTATATTTCAAAAATGCATAAGATTTATACGTATTAAAGACTAATATTTTAGATTAGTTTTTATTTTATTTTTTTGGATTGAAGTTAAAGAGAATATAACGGTGCAATGCGCATGGCGTTAGTCTGATTTGTGAGAGTGAGATATTTATATTTAATTAAAATTAAATATATCAATATCTAATCTGGACAATTTATGTGTATGATTTCAAAATTAATAAAATTTACAAAAATAATACTACATTCATTTCAAAAATGCAAAGCTGTTCGATAAAAATATTTTTCTTATGATTATGCGTAATCCATGAATAAAAACCTATAATATTTTAACTAACAGCTTTGCATTAAAACAATATTTTAAAAGTATTTTTTTTATTATATATAAATATACTGAAAATATATGTGTGTAGAAAAAAATGTATTTTCAATATTTTCAAATTTTAAACTCAATATGTAACGTGATATAAACATGGCTACTTTTGGTATTAGCCAAATGTGTATGTTACAAAAACGCAAATTTCTGTTTTTCAAACGAATTCAATTTTCAGCTTCTTTAAATGTAGTATGCAGTATTATATTATTATTTAATAACTTGTTTAACACAAACACCACAGCCCACTTAGTTTCAACACTATGCGCACTGCACTGCTTGCAATTGCACTAAAATTGTTTCCAATGAGTTTATCTTCAGTAAAAAATCTAAAACAAAAAAAAAAAAATAAGTAAGCATTGCTATGTAATATACAAATTTTATGATTTAGACTTATAGAAATAAAATGATTTATTTCGGTAATTTCCGCTAGTTGCTTGTAGATTATTGCCACTATTCCTAGAGATTTTTTTAAGCTTTTACTATATCGCAATTCATTTACAATGTTTTGCAATGTTCGTTTTTTCTTTAAACAATTTTTTAAAATTATTATTATGCGAAAAAAATGCTAAAGCTTATTTCAATACACGTCTCGAGGGTGTAAAAACATAAAAACGTACAAAAAATTATAAATGATTCCGAACTAAAAAAAAATTACTAATTTCACATTAAACGAGTACGTATGCTGAATGGGATCTCTTCTTTTAACGAAATGAGTATAAGGAAATGTGAAATCGTTTGCTTATTCGTTTTCCTGATTTTCCGTGTCACCGGTCGTTTCATCTGTGGCGCTAGCGATATTGCGCTTGCTCGCCGACTTAACCAATTCCAGATATTTTTCGCCATCGAAACGAGTGCTTTCATCCGTCAAATCCTGCAGAGTGTAGATAGAGAGAGAGAGAGAGAGGGAGAGAAAAAAATAATATAAAACAAATGAAAATAATTAATAAATAGAAAAACTAAATATAAGTAAATACAAATAAAATAAAAAATATTAATGAAAAATCAAATATAACTACATTAAAAGTAATTGCAATGTGGGGCAAAAGGCAGTTAGTCACAAACATTTGGGCTTACCTTAAAGATAAAGACAGTTAAGTTAACTTATTGGGTTAAGCGTGACGATGAGGCGGGATAATGTTGGTGATGGCGTATGCGGATTAAAACGCTGAAAGTTGTATGTATGTATGTATGTATGTATGTGAATGTGTTATTTGAAAAGTATGCGATGATTTATGCTGCTAAAAGCGCAATTTTTGTATGTATGCACCATAAATAATTTAATTATTTTTTTTTTTTCAAAACACTTCCAAATGTTGCTAATGATTTGTAAGCGAAAACGTATAAAGATTGAAAGTTGCAATGAGAGAGAACAAAAATAAGAAATAAAACAAACAAAAAGAAGGGGGAACATAAAAATCTGTAGAATAATAAATAAAAATTAATAATAAAAAATAAAAATATTAATTAAAAAACATAATTTAAAAAATATAATTTAAAAAAATATGATGTTATATTAAATGAATTGTTAAAAGCTGCACAATACGTTATAACGAAAGCAGTTACTGATTTAAGCAAACATTGTATGCGTGAGTTTGTGTGTAAATGCATGAGTAAGGTGAAATGTCTTCCAACACACCATGTTTATAGTCCATACCGTTAACACTGCTGTAGGCATGCGTTTAGTTTGTCCATGTTTAGGTGAAATAAAGCGTTTATAAGCAGGATTTATTTAAATAAGTCTAGGTATAATATTTTTATTAATTAAATAGGCTTTATTATATTTCCAAATAAATCAAATACTGGTTTCAGAGATATACCTACGAAAAAGTGGTTGTTATATATGCATAAATACTTACAATGCCAAGTAAGTTTAAGTAAAAGAAATGCAAATAGGTTGGTTTACATTAAATAAAATACTCATATATACTTAGTACATATTTATGCATAGGTGAGTGCTGTTTTTTTTTACGTTTTTATAAACCTTACAACAACGTAGGTGTAGTTATGCACTTTTAAAGTGTTATAACTGAACAATTGCTTCGTTTTTATAAAATGGAAATCATATCAAGTGCTGGCAGGCGGAAGCAATAGCGCTTGAATGTACGAGTATGTATGTCTTGTTTTTTTTTTTAATGATATACGCATATGTGTGTAAAAATATCGAATATTAATTCATTGTTAAATTTCAATTTTATATATGCAGATAACCAAATGTATTTGCTGTATAAATGTATGCTGTTGTGTATTCTTCCAAAAATCTGCCAGTACTTGATTTCGTAGCGCTTTACCATAACCGCCTTAATTGTAGTTACTTGTATGCATAAAGAGCTTAAAAACTAATTTGAAATTTTAACCTTCACCCAGAATACATAGGCGCGTGCTATCGTACAATGAGCTAAAATCGTTGCGTGTATTTACAGTAAAATTACTTCATATTTTCAAAGAAAAACATTAGTTGATTTCAATTGTAAATATTTGTGAAAACAAAAAACTAAAAAATTCGTAAATACATTTCATTGTACGACATCAATACTTATTTGCAATAAATGTTTGTGTGTGTGTATTTGTGTTGATTGCTTTTACTCATTGCATATTTGCTTTACTAAAAAACTACAAAAATCTTTGGGTTTCTCGTTTAGTATAGTGTTCACTAGGAGTTTTGCTAATTTTTCACGTATTTTGCTTTTTGTCACAACATTTTGCATGTTTCGTGGTTTTTTTTTTTTGTTTTTTTTTTGGTTTAATAATAATCTGTTTCACAGCCAAAACACAGATTAGTTAAATGTGTAGTACATTTATTTAATTTTTGATTTTGTTTTAGAAACAAAACTGTTAATTATAGCATTTCACATGCCTAAAAAGCTCTGCTTTAAAACGTTAAAATTTGTATTTTCAATACAAATTGAAAATATACAATTAATTTCAAGTGTGTTAGTTAAATTTACTTCTTTTTTGTATTCCATACAATATATTGTATATAAACATTTTTCATATAAATAAACATATTTTAAGGAACGAATATTTGGCAAATGTGTGCAGTTAGATTTTTTATCTCATATCTTTTATAAAAATATATCGCGTATTTGGTGATTAGGCGGTTAATATAAAAATATATATAAAATAATAATAATACGAAAATATGTCACAAATGTTTTTTTTTGTGACATTTTGTGACATATTTTGACTTTTTCCGTTTTTTATAGTTGCACAATGCACTGGAATAATTGACATTTAAGCTGTCAAATCGTTATTATGGATTTTACAAAAAAAAAAACAGAAAAAAAGAAATAAAATAAAATATGCTGCCACAATTCACTCAATTCACTGTTCAAATTATTTATAAGTGAAACGTTTGCTAAATATTTATTGGGTAATTTAATTACCATAATTGCTTAAAAGATTACAACAATTAGTGTGCTTTTGCAACAACCTACACACAGCATTAGTAATCAGTTAATGCGAGTATTTGATTTTCAATCAAAAATTATAGCTGCTCAAAATAAATATTGAAGCATAAATGTGCATATATGTGAGATCAAGTAGCAAATTTTTCAAAATTATGCTACATTCTACACAAAATACTTGAAAACAGCGTTTGAAATGTGCAGTTCTTATTAAAGAAACATTGCTGAGATTTTCGTTAGGTACAACTCGTTTTTTCGCAATATATATGTATACATATATATATATATATAAATAGTTTTTCGTGGTGAATTTCAGTTCGATAAATTGTTGGTAAAAATGTGTAATCATTTGGTATAGATGTACAAATTACTATTGTGTTTTTCGAATTAGAGTTTTGAGTTAATTAATGCATAATGCATATTTGGCCACAAAAAACCCTTTAAACTCAATTTCTTTGTACAACTCGTTTCTCGAAATATTAGTCGCATGTGGAGTTCGAGCGATATTCACGTATAAATTTTGGCCGTTCAACGGCGCGTCTTTGGTTGGCCACAACATCAGCAGTTATTACTATCTCAGTCTGCATATATTTCGTTTCACTAACAAACTCCACATCCGTATCGTTATCTTCATCGTCTATGATTTCAATAATATCATTATTGGCACCGGCGTCACGTTTAGTGTTCCTAGCTTTGCTAGCCGATTTGGACTTTGCGAACTTGGTTCTATCACCCTCAGGCGTGTCAGTTGTGTCAGCTGTGACTTTGTTGTCATTCGCATTCGATTCAAGCGATTTGCTGACAACTTCAGTTGGCTCGTGTATTAAAGTACTCTCCACTATGGAGGAAATCAATTTGATTTGTTTGTTTAATAGCTTTTGCGGCTTATTATCCATATTGGCATGTGAAAAGGAGCTGTTATTGGTGCTGTTGCCATTATTGAAGGATGCTGATAGATTATTGGTGGGAGTTGCTGCTGGTGATGGTGTTGCTATGCCTGCACTATTGTATGACATGTTGGCATAGCTAAAATTGGCGGTATTGGCGCCAGAACGGACAGACATAAACTTTTGCTGTTGCTGATAGTGAATTTGTTGTTGTTGTTGATTACTGTTATTGGCATTTGTATCGGTGCGATGATGATTATACGCACGTTGATATAAATTATTTGTATGATTATAATGACGTTCTGTGTGGTATTGTTGTTGCAAATGCTGCTGTTGCTGTTGTTGGAGCGCATCGTAGCCCTCCTCGTCAATACTGACTATTTGACGATTAAAAAACCCTTTACGTTTGATATGTAACGGTGTGTGCAGTTCAAACTGCTGACGGTTGTGTATAAGAGGACTACTAGAGTGCATGTGCATAGACTGCTGCTGTTGTTGTTGTTGTGGTTGTTGTGTAACAACAACTGTAGATTGGTGTGCCGGCTGTGCTGGCATTGTTATATTCTTTGTGGTCATACTTAAACTACTAGTTACATTAGCACTAACAACACCGACACCAACCGAGCCGACTACTGTGGCATTATACGAACTATTAATATTATTATTACTAGCAATATTTGGCATAGTAGTACTGGGCGTAATTGCAATTGCAGTGGTAGCAGTAGTAGTAGTAGTAGTATTAATAGTAGTAGGAGTAGAAACATTGCTATTAGTAGTAGTTATGGAAGCAACACGGAATATCGGTGCTGTATTAGTAACGGTGCCTGTGATGGCAGTGAGTTGGGTTACCTTATAGCGTACGATGGCTGGAAACTTTTCGCAGATTTTTTGCCACTCCAATGGCAAGGCCCAGGAATGAGGGCTCTTCGAATAGTACAACAAATGTTCGTATTCGTGAACAATTCTTGCTGCAAAGCAAACGATAAAATTACATACAATTAATACAAATTAAAATCGAATATATTTTGGCAACACGTGTGAAACGTACATGAATCGCTGCTGACAGTGCCAGCGGTGGCATTATCAATTTTACCACGTGCAGCTGTTGAGCTAGCTGCCGCTTCTGGTGTGGAGTCTTTACGTGAGAAGTGACTTCTGCGTGAACGTGATAGACCATTGCTTTGGCCGGCAGCTGAAAAGTAAAACTCAACTTAGCATATCTTACTCAATGCATTTGAAGTTCAAAGTGTGCTAATCAAACCATTTGTATCTGCAAATACTTCATCGTCACCATCGTGTACACTACTGTTAACACCCTGTGCGGCCATGTAATTCAAACCGATACCGCTATCCGCCAGCGGTGGTGCAGCGGCATGCAATGGTGTGCCCATCATGAATTGTGGCGCACTCATGGGTGTTGATGGTGTTGTTATTGGACTGACAATGCTGCCATCAAAGGCTGCGCCAGCCTCGACTGAAGCCAAGAATTCAGCGCTGCTAAAGTAATCGTCCAATACTAATTTTGCAACCTAACGGCACAGTAATTATTTTTTACTACGTCTTAAGTGCAATAATTGGTTGCGTACTTACCCGTACGAGATCACAACAATCGCCGGTGATTTTGATGAGATGCTGTCCGACGTTCACCGTATATTTGTATTCACCTAAAGAAGCATCATTGGTGGAGAATGAATGCAATAACATTTGCTGATTAGGGCGCAACACTTTACCAGCAGCTGCAGCTGCGGCAGCAGCCGTAGGTGTGGAAGTGCTGCCAACGACGGCGCCCATCATATTCATGACCTGTTGCTGTTGTGCAACAGCTGCTGCCGCAGACGCAGTCATGAAGTTTTGCGCCGAATTGAAGCTCAGACGATTGGCTAGACTGTTGTTGCCAGCACCGCCAGCGCCTGGGGTACGTGGCGTAACGGCCTCATCGGAATTGGAAGACGCTAATGAAGAGCATGAGCCACCGCCACCCGCATGACCGCTACCCATGGCGGGATCGAGACGTACAGGTGAAGCATTGCGACGAATAGTATCTTCAATGAGTTGTTTGGCGTAGCTGAGGGGGCAATATATATGTATGTGTTAATAATATTTTTAACAAAAACAAAAAAAAACGTTAACTTCGGTTGCAACGAAGCTAGAATACCCTACATAAAAAAATTAAAAAAATAAAAATTTCCATACAAAAACGTGATTTTAAGCGGTTAGTTTGTATGGCAGTTATATGCTATAATGGTCCGACATCGGCGGTTCCGCCAAATGAGCAGCTTCTTGGAGAGAAGAAGGCGTATGTAAAATTTCAGAGCGATATCGCAACTAAACTAATATACAACCTAGCGTATTTACAGACAAACAGACATGGCTAAATCGACTCCGCTCGTCAGGCGGATCAATTATAAATAGTTTAAATCTGTAAATCATTAAGATCTGGATACAGAATGGATTTTCAAATTCAAAATGTGTATGTGCTTATGGATGCTTAAATTTATCACACTTATATGGAAGTTGTTGTTGTGGACACTTACTTTATTTTCTCCTCAGTCGGACCGGTAATTTGCACCAAACGTTCCTTAGCGCCGGGATTTACTAAATGGAAAACCATAAAGAGTTATATAACATCTTAAAAATTACTGTTATTCTCGATAAGTTGCTTTGCACATATTAGGTAAGCAACAACAACTTTTTAAAAGTTTAGCCATAACAAATGCTGTGTATTATATTTAGTATGCGTATGAGGGAAAATACTTAAACTTAACATAATTTCGAGAAATGTTTGCATATATGTATGTACAAGTAAAAGCATATTTTATTGAGTTCAAGCATGCACGGAAAGGTATTTTTTCTCAAATAAAAATGTGTTTTGCATGCGAAATAATCCAAATGCCTGTTATAATTAGATTAATATGCGTTGATGAAAAATTACAACGATCAGATGAAATTTGGTTATGTTAATTTAACAATTTTAAAAAATAATCATGTATTTGATGTACATTTGTGAGGTTATGAACAGTTACACTTTTGTAATTTTAGGTACAAATGATTATTACGAAACCATAAACTGAAAATATTTTGAAGCCTTATATAATTGTAAGATAAAATGTCATATATAAACTCCGATTAAAAATAATAAGCAACCGCAAACAATGTTAATAGCGTACACAGTGCCATGTCCCACAATTAAATGTGTGAAAATAATGTAATTTATTTGCAAGAATGCGTGAAATATTGTTGATTTAAGCGTTTTTAACTGACTTTGTGTACATGTTTTCTTTTACCTCTTTGGAAGGAAATTATCGTTTCACTTAACTCCTCAATCATATGGACACGTCGACCTTTAATGCCCATTACTTTTATACGCACGCATTTATCCAAAGAAATAGGCAAAATAACAAATAGTTTGTAGTAATTAAGTATTTTGTAGTTTATATTAAAGATTTAAAAATAACAGATAATTTAGTGCTTTGTTTTTGGTAAGGTCAAATTGAATACTGTAATTTTTATTACTCATTTGTATGAATTATGTATGCCTATATACCTTTTCCCGAATCCGCATTACGTATGACCACTTCGTCTTTGCAATAGGTTTTGCCCGGTATTTTGGTTGGTTTCAGGAACTTGCCCGAATTTCGTATGACCTCGCCTGGTGCCAATAGGAGTTGCGTCTGCTGCGCCGAACCAACAGCGGCTATAGCTGCGGCCGCTGCGGCGCCAGCCCCACCGAATGTGGGGGAGGTGCTAAGGAACCCGCTTTGTGTTGGATCAATATGTCCATCGGGTAGCTATGTGATAAAAAAAGAACGAAGAAAAATTAGCAAAATATTAATTTAAATGAAAAACGAACACTACAAATGACACTCACATCGATGTTCGTTACTTGTTTGGTTTTATAATACGAATTGAAGCCATTGTCCTCCCAGCCTTTGGCGCGTAACTCTATCAATTCGAGCAGATTCAGTCTCGTCATAATATTTAAGCGTTCGTCCTGCGAAGCATTGCGGAAAACAACAAATGCACGATCTAGTGTATCTTTTGAGACGCTTTCTAATTGTGGACCGTGTATGCGTAGATTTTGCACTAGCGCCGCCATTGGTTCCGTATTATTGATGCCCGATTGTAGGGTCAAGGCAACATTCTCAATCAGCTGTATTAACTCTTCGATGAGCATATAATTGTTTTTCAGTGAAGAGCGTGATTGTGATTTTAGTGGGCGTGGCGCCTCAACATTTTTCACTGTACGTCCAATGTGTGCCATTTCTTCTATGAATTTTATTTATATTAACGTTACTCTTTAAATTAAATATATTAAATCGTCTGCTGATTGCGTTATTTAATTTGTTTTGTATTTCTCTTATTTTCTTTTTGTAGTTTTTTTTCTTTTGGTAGAAACAAAGCGTGGAACTATAGTTGGTTATTTTGTTGCTGTGTGTGTTTGAAGTAATTTTCTTGTATAAAAATGCTTCAAGTAAAATTGAAGGAATATCGAGATAATCTCAAACGTCTGTTCGCACCTCCCCCTGCAAAAAAATAAAGAAATAATTATTTGAGAACATAATGCAATATGCATAACAAACACAATTTAACCGTTAAATAGGTTTGTGCTGTTAATGTTTGACAAACTTAGTGGTTATGTTTTAATTTTTTTAGTATTGATTAGCTTGCGCTGAAGCCCTACCACGATTACAACTGTGTCATCTATGTGCACTGCTTCTATTTACATCTATACATTAACATAATTGTAGTTATGCATGTTCTTTACAATAAGTAAATTGCATAATTATGAAATGTTGTTGATTTTCCCAACTTGCGTTGCTAAGATATAGTATATCTCGTTTTATATGATTATTTATGGTATTGTGCTAATTGCCCTTATTTTTGTAGCTTCTTTTAATAAAGCTTGTTTTTCAATATTAATTTGTGCTGTTAAAACGCTTGCTAGTTATTTTTAAGTAAAATTTTCCTTACGACTTTTAGCGTAATGTATCTAATATAGACTGATAAATAATTTCCCTATGTATGTGTGTATCATGCAGATTTATAGTTTGTTTGCATATTACGTCTATTTACATTAAATGAGTCTTTTTATCTTTCACATCATTTTATGGAGTTACTTATTTACATATACACATATGGATAATATTGTTGTTAATAATAACATTAAACCAAAAGTTTTTTGGGTAATTAAGCTGAAGCGCCCATATTCACCATAATTCGTTACAACAACAACATTCACCATAAGTATTTCAATATGTATTATAGGTTGCAATATAAACAAAAAACTGCCAAATTTATTTTTATTAATCGAAAGAAACAACTATTTTCATATATTATCAGATGCCAAGGTCATTTTACATATTGTTGTTGCTTTATACAAGTATTAACTACTACACACAGCAAGTTTCGTCAACACTCTTATCTCTGAGCAATGTACAAGTAGTGTTGCGGACTAAGTATTCAAAGCATTGTTTGCAGATCTCGTATAAAGAAGCCGACATATTTAACGTACATAGCTAGATTCGCGTGTTTTTTTGGTAATGTAATTTAAAAAAGTTGATTGAAATATACTTCTAGTAATAAAATCGGTTTGACTACTCAAAAATAATTGTCAAAGGCATCAGCAAGCTACTTAACGTTATATCATCTTTGAGTATGTACATACATACATATTATAGCAGGGTAAATAGTTACCATTTTTTCATTATTATACCAAACATTTAGTACATATGTATATAGTATGACACACGTATGCACATATTTGCATGATTTAAGTATAATTTCATTATTTACATAAAAAAAAAAATTTGCGCGGTAAGAGCCAACGCAACCACACTCAGCTTTATGATTATGACAATTGAAATCATAATTTCAGCAATGCGATGACACGTTTTGCATTTTAATTAAAATACTCGCCATATATTACTGAGTACTTAGTTTTTTAACAAAAATTCAAATATTCAATAATGCCTTTGCAAGCCCATTTTATCAAATGACAACTACTTGTATTTTTTTCATAGAGGGCCAATCAATTAGTAATAGTTAATGTAAACCTAAAAATTTCAGCTAAATGAATCATCTAAAGACCTCATCAACACACATTAAACCTTCGTGTTGCTATCGCAGCCGCACTTTCGTTTCTTGTCCGTGAAGTTGGCAGCGTTCACACTAGACTCCCGCCCACTCTCAAATGTTCAATTGTTGTTGTTTTTTTTTTGCCATACCTCAACAATGCATTGATTCATATACATTAACAAATGCGATAATATATTAAATAGTTGTTTAACCGTACAATTAAACCTGCAATGCTGCATATGACAGTGAGAACTTGCAACATTTTCATAAGGCAGCTCCATCGATCTCAAGTGCTACCCTATCCAGAAGAAGTCAATTGGATCATTGTCGAGAATAGCAACAAAAATGTATTTGCTCAGCACTACTGCGGATGACAGCAGAAGTGAAGAAACAAAAATAAAGCAACACGAATTAGGTACGCAGAGAACTATGCAGCGGCGTTGACTGATTTGAGCACTGGAACGATAGCCTTAATCGGATCTATACAATAATGTAATAAATACTTTACTTATTACCAATTACTTTACCAACTAAGGAGTGACAAATAATTTATAACCAGTGGTATGAAAATTAAAACATATTTCAGACTTGCAGTCTTAATTTAGTGGATTTCAATTGCGTTTCCTCTATTTGGTTGCTGCGCCAGCGTTGCCGTCGATGTTTCTGCTGCTGCTCTTTATAATAGAACCGTCGCACATTTTCACAGACTTTTAAAGTCGAGTTCAAATCGAAGACACACAAGTTTTTTGAAACTATATTTCATAGATTGTTGACTTATTGCCACTTTTGGTATATTTTTCTAATTATGAACACATTTTACCGAAGACTTACCAGAAATTCTGCAAATTCACACAAGAGAAAAACTTTTTACTGTTCGTCGTAGTGGATGAAACATCCAATCAAAGCAAATGATGTAAAGTTAAGGTGCTGCCGTTTTTGTGGAACATAATTAATTGTGGGAGCCGAATAGCATTGGAGTTGGGTGGCTATTGTGAATATTACAAATATCTTTATGGTGAATAGAATTATTCTCTTAGCTGACACTTTCAATAGTTTGACAAAGTTGATGCAAATTTACAATACGTGTTTGCAAAAACAAGTAAAAACTATAATTCCAAAAAAAGTTATTTTCTGAAAAGTATACGATAAATGTACATGATGGCCTCAAGTGTTACTGAAAGAGATGAAGAAAATTTGAGACAGCAGTGTGAAAATGCTTCGTTGGAAGATAAACCCGAAGCAGTCAGGAAAGCTGTTTTACCACCAATTAAACTGGGCATGTCTTTCAGTGATTGGAAGCAAATGAAAGAAGCAGAGGAGGAAGGTAAAAACAGCAAATCATCAAGATCTGCAAAAGATAGAAAATTTGCCGGCCAACAGCGATCAAATCCGCGCAATAAAAACTGGACTTCAGAAAGCCATATACAAAATCAGCACAACCAAGAAAGAATTTTTTCTAGATCCCAGAACTATAATTTGCCTAATTTTAATGCTTTAACACCACAAAGAAACCAGTTTGAAAACAACCATGTGCGCAGCTTTCATCAAGATCCAATAATACCACCATTGAGGCCACCATTGTCTTTTGACGAGTTTCTTAATCAAGATGTTCATTGGTCATCTGGACCTCTAATGCAACCATTGTTTCCACCAATGCCACAAATGCCCCGCTTAAATCAATACAACGATTACAACAAGCAATCGGGAAAAACTAACAACAGATTTTTTTCACAAAAAAATTTTTCCTCTCGAACAAAACCCTCTGCTGTAAAAACAAACATTAAACCGGCATCAACCAAATCAACACAAAATGAGCAACCAGTAATAAAAAACACAAAATTAGAAGACGAAAACAGTACAAATGTGGAACAAGATAACAAAACACAATCAATCCAACCGCAAATATATATTCAAAAGCCGCACAATGCTACCAATAAGTATGAAAAGTTTAAATCTACATGGATAGCGAAGCCTCAAGCTCCACCAGCAATGATCGCGAATACACCGGAGGAACGCGAACAAAAGACACGTATGTGGCGAGAATACCGCCAAGCCATGAAACCATTTAAGAATCGCGAATTTAAAAACGCTAAAAGAGTAGTACAACGTCTGGGTAAAAAGACGTATGAAGAATTGGACGAAAAGGATCGCGTCCGTTTAGATCGTGCAGTGGAGGCTGTGAACGCACATAAAGAGATGTTGAATGCTCGAATGGTAGAACGGTCAGCTCGAGTGGAACGAGTAGTAAAAAAGTCTACAACTGGCACAAATAATGCCTCATCGGAAAATTTTTTCAATCTACCTAGAAATTGGCATTTAAACAATTCTTCTAATCCATCAATTCATAACACACACGATGCCATTCTCTCATCAAATCAAACTTTATCGGACAGTTTTCTACCTGGCGGTATGTTGCTTCCGGGAGGTATTTTAACACAATCTAAACCTTAAATTGTATTTGTAAATATAACCATAAATTGAGAACTAACAAATATTGGTGTTGAAATATTGTTGATAGTAGTTTGGGAATTAGCACACGGTTAAATATTTTCTTAAGACGCAAAAAGTTAATTTGCTCATTTATTTTCATAACAGATACTCCTGTGTTAAAACAATATTTAATCTAGACCATTTTTTTTTTGGGTGCTGCGTTTTAAGATTTTGAACTATTGGCGTTTTTAGTTTCTCCAAGCAGTTCCATCCTTTTTTCCTTGCCTCGCAATATTGCAGCTTTGAATAGATTGCAATATAATTCTACTGCGGCTGGCGAATCATCATTTCCTGGCACTGGGTAAGTAATCAGATTGGGATTGCAATTACTGTCCACAATACCAATAGTGGGTATAGCCATTTTCGCGGAATCTCGCACTGCCACATGCTGTGTCAATATATTGTTTTGTATATTCAAGAAAATGCACAAATCAGGCAAACGCGTTACTGCGCCGAATTGTACATTAGCATTAGTAAAAATACCTCCGCGCCAAAAGCGTGTATGTGAGAATTCACCGGCTTCCAAAGCTTTCTTCTCCACCAGATGGGCGTTGAGAGCATTTCGATTAAAGAATAGTATAATACCATCACGAAAAGCAATATGTGCAGCTATGTTTAAAGCATCTCGAAGATGTGCCGCAGTTATATCTAAATCGAATATAAGGTGACCGAGACGACTTCCGTATATGTAGGGGCGCATACGATCATCTAATGACCCCTCCTTGTGACCATAATGAACTCTAGCATTGAAGAGATCGCGGACAGTGAAAAGATTATGCACCTGAAAATAATCAGGGTGCTTCAATATTCGTTCCTCTATTACAGCAATATTTTCAGACTCTGTTGCGGGAGTGTTTGTAGCGGTTTGAGTCTGTTGTAATCGCTTGGGAACGGCGCAAACATTTCGATAGTTAAATATACGCGTAGCTGAAAAAAATTTTTGGTTCAAGAATCGATTTTAAATATATGTTTATAAATATTACTTGATTTTAAAGAGTTTTGTAACATCTTGGAACTTAATGAATTTTAACCCAATTGATCAATAAGCATGCCGTACCGCTGACGAACAGCTGTTTGAGATGCCAGTAGAAAAGTTAAATTTAGATATTTTATGTAAATATTTTTTATGCATAAGTTATTTTGACAATAGCCGCTAGCAATCAGTACTATAAACTTATTTTATACAAAAATTAAGAGGAATTTGATATGAATTTATATTTTACAAAATAAATAACTTATTAAAAATATTTCCAAACATTGTGACCGATCGCTTGCAGAAGAAGAAATATAAGCTAAATGATTTGGTTTTAGAATTATGCTGCAAAACAAAGTCATAAAGTTATTGAAAATCAATTTATGAAAAATATTTTGGTCATACTATTATGTAAAGTTATAGAAAAGTATGTTGGTGATTATTGAAATAACGTTTTATTATTTCCAGAACATTGGATGGAGCCGATAAGGTTATAAAGAATTAAACATGGACATGGAACCACCCACAAATTACTCAGATTCAGCGTCCATGCAATCGAATTCTGAATACTCCGACGCTGAATGTGAACCCCATATAGAAGACAACGAATATTTCCAAGATACAGAACGCGAACAAAACGAGGTTGGACATAGTGTTATAAGTGAAATACGTGAAGGTTTAACACCAGGACAAGACACAATAAATGGTGTAAATGAAAGCACCAGCCAAAACTCTAGTACAATTGACAATGTCCATAAGTCTATATCAGCAGAATCGCTACCCATTATCAATAGCACTAGCACAATATCTGGTGAAATCGTGAACTCATTAGGGGCTGCAACTGTCGATGATGGTGATGAAAACCAATTTGACTATATGCATGACAGTGTGTGGCGTGAACAAAAAAAGCATATATTTATATTGAGCGAAGCTGGCAAGCCCATATATTCCTTGCACGGGAATGAAGACAAACTAGCAACTTTATTTGGTGTTATACAAGCGCTGGTTAGCTTTGTACAACATGGACAAGATGCAATAACGTCTATTCATGCGCGTGGCATTAAATTTGTATTCTTAGTGCGTAATACGCTAATACTCGTTGCGGCGTCACGTTCAAATATGAGTGTGCCGCAGTTGCAACTGCAGTTGAGGTAAGTTGTACCAGTTAATCTGTATAAGACGAAGAAAAATTAATAAATATATTTAAAATTTAGCGATGTATACAATCAAATACTGTCAACCTTAACCAACAAGCATGTGACACGCATATTTGAAAAACGTAAAAATTTTGATCTGCGGCGTTCACTAGCTGGTAGCGAAAGATTAATCTATCATTTGCTCTCAAATGACAGCAGTAATAAAAAAGGTTAGTGTTATATATTAATAGAGGTACATTTATTATATTAATTTTATGATAGTGACCAACAATGTCTTCACTTTTTTAACAAACTCCATTCGTGTACTACCTCTGCCTACGACGGTACGTTCAAGCATTGTTAGCGGTATACAAAGCAATTGCTCAAAAATCAAGGATTTGGTATTTGCCGTGCTTATAGCGAATAATAAACTCATATCACTTGTACGTATGAAAAAATATTCCATCCATCCAGCGGATTTGAGGTAAGAAAAATATGTATAGATTTCAATATTTATTAACAATTATTAATTTGCTATACACAGGCTGGTCTTCAATCTTATCGAGTGCTCTGAATCCTTTAAATCCTCAGAAAATTGGACACCTATCTGTCTGCCGAAATTCGATATGAACGGTTATTTATATGCACATGTTTCCTATCTGTCCGACGATTGCCAAGCGTGCCTTTTGTTGCTTTCAGTCGATCCCAATGTATTCTTTACGCTCTCCGATGCCAAACGACGCATAACGGATAAATTACGTTCGACAAAGTGCTTGGAAGCTATTAGTAAAGAAATTGAGAAACCGACTAATGGCGGTTTGAATTTAAGCATTATTGGCATACCTCAACTGCGACATTTTCTCTATAAACCTAAAACGGCGGCGCAACTGCTCTGCTCCGAACTTGTACCATTATATACTTCACTGAACGAATTCGAACGCTTGGAAGGCATATATTGTGATTTATTGCATCGCATACACAACAACTCACGGCCGCTTAAACTAATTTTCGAGGTGCACGAACGTGAAGTGGTCTTGGCATGGGTAACAGCTGCATATGAATTATATGCGGTTTTCGAACCATTTGTAGATATGTGTACAGTGATTAAACACGTCGACAAGTTGATTAAGTGGATCGAAAAGGAATATGATGTATTTTTCATACGAAACCATCCGACCTTCTGAGGCTGGTGGTTGCTTGGCGAAATGTTAAGCGCTGAGATGTAGTAGACAATAGATAATCAAAATTAGTGGTGAATGCAGCTGTTCTCATTATGTAAATTTGTAAGTACGAGTATTATTGACTTGCGATATACACTAAGTTTAATGTACTAATAAAAAATGTGGTTGAAATTTTTTGAAAATTTAAAATAAAGTGTAAATAGTTTTTAAATTTTACCGTTACACACATACCTACAAATGCATAATCTTAGTTAATACTTAAATAGTTAAATGACGTTGATTATTAGTTTAATTATGAAAATGCATACATACATACATACACATGTGTGGAAATAATAAAGCTCTGCTGCAATCATAAGAATAAAGCTAGACTAAGAAATATTTTACGCTGTTTTTAATAAATATAAAGCGTGCTATATACATTTCTTCATAAGCTGTATATATTTATGTATAGATTGTTATTAATTCAAAGTTAATGTAGGGTTGAAGTTATATTTGGCCGGTTAGTGTATTTGACTTTGAATAATTTGTATTTTGATTTTTCACATAGAAAAGGTATTAATTTTTTTTAAATTAAAAAAATGCTTTTAATTTTTTTTAAATTTTGTTTTTAAATTTATTTCTTAATTATTCTAAAATTTTTTAAATTCTTTGAATTTTCTTTTTAAGATTTTTAAAACATTACAATTTTTTTTTAATATTTAAAATTTTTATTTTATATTAGGCCAAGTAAAAAGTTCGTTCGGTTTTTATCTAAGAGATGGCGTTATTGTCCATAGTACTAGTGTTAAGTGTCGCATCATGTCATACTATACGGCGCTGAAAACGTGTTTATTCGCGCTAAAAGTTTGTCTTTGACAGTTTTTCGATTGATTGACTCAGTACGTTGTGAGCGCTCGTCAAATATGGACGCCAGCAAAGAGAAAATATTATACATTTGTTTTAATTAAATTTTTTATTTTTTTTTTAATATTATTTGATTAAAAATAAAATAATAATATGGTTTATTATATAATATTTTTTTTTTTTATATTTGTGTTGTTTCTATAATTAACTATTTTTTGATAATTTTTACTTTACTTCAAATTTACTTAAAATTTTAATATATTTTTTTATTTCCAAATTTTATTGTGTATTTATCAAAATTTAATATATTTGCTTTCTTAGTTGCACCCAATTTTACCAACCATTTCAAATTTTTTAAAAATTATTTTAAAACATTTAAAGTTTTTTTAATTTTTTTAAAACATTAAAATTTGGTTTTTATTTTTTTTAAATTTTTTTAAATGAGTAAAAATTGGTTTTTAGTTTGTTTAAAACATTAAATTTTTTTAAAAATATTTTTAAAAACATTTAAATTTTTTTTATTTTTTTTAAAACATTAATTTTTTTAAAAATATTATCTAAATATTTTTTTTAAATATTTTCTAAATATTTTTTTTAAAATATTTTCTAAATATTTTTTTTTAAATATTTTCTAAATATTTTTTTTTAAATATTTTCTAAATATTTTTTATATGTTTTTATAAATGTTTTTAATATAATTTTTGTTATAAATTTTTTTAATATAATTTTTTTTATAAATTTTTTTAATATAATTTTTTTTATAAATTATTTTAATATAATTTTTTTTTATTAAGGGTTTTTTTAATTATTTTTATAATTTTTTTTTGTTTTTTTTTATACTTTTTTTATGTTTATTTTTATAATTTTTTTATGTTTATTTTTATAATGTTTTTTTTTTAATAATTTTTTTATAATGTTTGTTTTTTATTATTTTTTTTTATAATGTTCTTTTATATAATTTTTTTTTTAAATTTTTGTTATAATATTTTTTTTATAATGTTCTTTTATATAATTTTTTTTTATAATTTTTATTATAATATTTTTTATAACTTCTATTTTAATAATTTTTTTATAATTCTATTTCATTTAATTTTATCCCAGTTTTTTTGCTGTTAATACTTGTTTAACGTTCTTATTTGTTTTTGTTATTATTTTATATGTTTTCTTTGATAGACGCATCAAATTTAAACAGCTTTCTTTCCTTCTGTTATTAGACTATATGGACAAATTCAAGATTTACAAGTCACTCAAAATAATCAAATTATGAATCAAGCAAGAAAAATAGTGCCATTGCATGAATATAAGTTTACACAAAATTGTGGAAAAATAACAACTAACAACAATCAAATTATGATTGCAAGTTTAAGGTAAGAAATTCATATGTTGTTACTGTATAATTAATCAAATTTTAAAAATATTTAAACCAATCTAACTTTAAGTGATAAGAAAAAATATTTGCATACTGCATTGCCGCCATTGTTGCAAATGTGGCATGCAGCAAGAGCTTTTCACCACCCTTTAAAAATTTTACCAGCTGCCATCAAAACCTACCCATTACATGCTAGTACTTGTGCTCACGGCACTTTGAGGAGGATATTGAGTATTTCGAAATTGGAAAAGCTCAAATACTCGTCACTTTGTCTCACACAGTCATTTGTGTGTTGTCTCAGTTGAGTAAAGGATATACGCGCGTGCGGTTGTTGCTGCCATTAATAGACGCTGCAGCGCTCTAATTAAAACAAAAAGTCAAAACTGTTAAAAAAAGTGTGATTTTTTTTTTTGGTAAATTGCCATTTTATAAAATCTACAGCAAATGTGCGTCTGCAAAAAAATATATGTGTATAAACATAGTTTAAAAATATTTAGTGCTGCGTTATGTGAAATGCATAGGCGTGCGTGCGTGTGAGTTGTGTGCATACTTATAGGCGTTGTATGAAATTCCTAAGCAACAATTAGACGAGTCGTACAAAACAACAAAAAAAAAATGAATTGTGAATTCAATATCTACGCGTAAAAACTACGACAGCAGACATTTTGCAGCGAGTGTGCAATTTCGAAACGGCAGCGAAAAGCAAATTCAGAGAGCAAGTAAAACACAAGTTGTATTGTAGCAAACAAAATTTAATTAAATGAANCGCTTAGTAATTCTCTATACACGCGCAGATATGCTGCGACGAGTGCTGCTGCTGCTTACCGCTGAACACCTCAATCAAGTTAGTTAGTTGGCTGTGGCAGTCGTCGTGACTCGCACTAGAGACGCTGCACAAACTTAAGTAGCTAAATGTTGCGTCCAACTACGACGCGTACACACGTCTTAACCACGTACTGAAGCCGTGCCGTGTACACAATTCGAAGTTTATGCGCTCATCCTTGGCGTTCGTTCGAAATTGCGTGTTGTGCCGCGTGCCTTGTACCTCGCGCGCTCGTTGTCGCTTCGTGCATGCCGTCCGGCAGCGACGATTTCACGTTTACCACCTCGACTGCGCACTTTCCGCTTCAACACTATTCTTGTCTAACTTTAATTCATTATTCGCATTGTACATATGTATGTGTATGTTTAGACGTTAACGTATAACGGCGCGTGTGTGTCTTCCTACTCCAGGCGAGCTTAAGCTTATGCTGGCTGTGTTGTGTTCGTACGCAAGTCCTTTTCACCACACTCGCTTCAACTCTCCATTCGCTAAAGCTTCAAACAATTGTCTCTTCTCGTTGGTTTTTAGCTGCCAAATTGAAGTTTGCTTACTGGCGTGTTAACCACACACACTCGCACACGCAAATACCAGAATATAAAAATCTGTGTACATGCATACATACAGACATATGTGTGAGCGCTTGTGGTTAGGCTTGTAAAGCGCAAAGTCACACAACCGGATATAAGCGTGCGTATAACCGGCTTTATTGGCCTATCGGATGTGTGGACTTGAGGAAGTGTAGAAGATGCATAATCTATTTTGTGCATGAATACCGTTAGCCAACTGTGTTTTGATAGCGTAAAATTGTGAAATATCGCAAACAGTTTAAATTTCTGTGTGACTCCTAAAAGTATGCAATTGTTTTGCACCAAAAATCTTTGAATACACACAAAAAGTGATACGATCACTGAAAAGGTTTTCTATTTTAAAGTATTTAATTAGTGTGCGAATCTAAATGCGTTTTTAAACCTATACATACATATATACTGATAATTGATAATCAGCAATCGTATATATATCTATATACTAGCTAAAATATTAAGTGTTTAACTTCCATAAATGCAAACAGAGCACATGGCGCAAGTGTGAGAGCGCATATGGTTGTCTGGTGGCTTTATATGCGCATAAAAAACGAAAGGTAGGTCTTTTCTATTTATGTACACATATGAGATATTATGAAAATTACTGAATTTAAAATTTTTAAATTTGGAATTTTAACTTTATACCTGTTTGAATTTGCGATTGTTGTGTCTTAAAACGACTTAAAATCGCATGTCTTCGTGCATAGGAGTATGTATGCAAAACAAGAAAAATCGTTAACTTCGGCTGCACCGAAGTTGTAATACCCTTCATAGCTCCATTTCTCATAGCAACTATTAACATACATATGTATAACTTAAGCAGCAAACATAATCGACCAACTATTTGCCATCCAACGGAAACCGTTTTGCTAGTTCTTTGCAGCCACGTTGCTCGATATAAACAACTTGCATGTGCAATCATGCTTATTTTATAAGGAAAAACTGTTTTTATGCAGATTTTTATCTTGATTTTGATTAGTCAGTTTGTATGACAGCTATATGTTATAGTAGTTCGATTTGAATAATCAGGGGTATTGTGGAATCCAAGACAGATTTGCCTAGTTCTCACAGTGGCAAATCGATTATGATTCTCAATGGTGTCACCGAATCTGATTGAATTTTCGTCTTTTCAAATACTTGTATTTTACTATTATGACAAAAATGTGTTGTTGTATTTTACTATTATGACAAAACTTTTGATAAATTTTAAAAATACTGTAGTAAGTCTGCTAAAGTTTACACTATTAGCGGAACTATTTTAGCTCTTATTTTATTAGAATGAAAAAAAACAACGAACAAATTAAAAAATTTAAAAAAAAAAATGTATTTAAGATCACAGTAATCCACCTGATGCACCAGGGGAGTCGTATGTGAAATTTGCCTTCCCTTTACTTGTATGTTTGTATACATGCTTATTTTACAGATTTATATCACATTATCTACTGAGTAAAAATGCATTTGGGTGTTAAATTACGTTTATTACGTTCTGTAAATCCTCTTAAAATATCTGAATTTTGTCCATAAACTTTATATTATATTATTAAAGTGAAACCTTGATATAACGAACTTCAATATAACGAATTCCTTGATATAACGAATTTTTCAAAACCCCCTAGCACTGCCCATAAGAGCTCATGTATAAATCTATGTTACGATTTTTTTTTTAACCTCACTGTAACGAATTTTTAGACTCAGCAAAATGTAGATCGAAACTATTTTTGACCTTTACTTAACGAATTTTTTGATCCACAACCTTCATATAACGAATGACTGCTTTTCTCGTCAGCTGTTTGACTGTAGTCAAAAACATCCGCCCCTTAGTTAATCACTTTTTGACTATAGTTTACTCAGTCCCTCCACTAGCTGGCAAAAGCTCATGATTTGATTGGCTCGCAGCTACTTGCGACTTTTCCAAGAAGCTGACGATGCAAAGCTTAAATTTTCAATTCCTCTTTCGTTGCAACTACGATCACTACCTACAATCTTGCGTAAAACAGTTTTTTAAAAAATAATTTTAAACTTCGTCCCTTGATCCAGTGAATTCAGTTGCAAGGGCTGAAAAACGTAAAAGGTTTCGTTAAGTGTTGCCGAGAAACGAAAAATAATCAAGTTTGTAGACGAAAATCCTTTATTAAAGAAGTTAGAGATTGCCAGGAAGTTTGACATTCCAACTTGTACATTAGCTACAATTTTGAAATCAAAAGAAAGATTTGCTGAAGAAAGCGGACTACCTGCAAATAGTATATATATAACAAACCTCACTGTAACGAATAACTCGATATAACGAATATTTTCCAGTTCCTTTCAGATTCGCTATATTAGGGTTACACTGTTTAACATTTTGTGTTTTATTTTTATATTTTCTCCTATAGAAATAACGATAAATTACATCGTAACAATAACATAAATTATTTTCTTAACTTACATTTCAAATCTGTCAGCGAATATTCATATACATATCTTGCTTTGTTGCTCACACGTCAAACCAATAATATCTCTGTTCAATTCTGATTCCAACAACTATCAGATTCTATCACACCCTGAATATTTTCGAAAATTGTAGCGTTGCCTTGGACAGCAGTCCGTGCTAAATTCCGCCAAGATATCTTGTCAAATATAAAAGTGTTCCATACAAGGATTTGATTTTCATTTAGTCATTGATTTTTGTTCAGTTTGTATGTCGACTATATCGTATAGTGGTTCTATATCGGCTGTTCTGACAAAAGAGCAGCTTCTTGGGGGGAAAAGGACATGTGCAAAATACCAGATCGATATTATTATATGAGGGTTTAGTTCGTATATATACAGACGGCCATAGCTAAATCGAACTAGCACGTTACATTGATCATTTATATAAATACATTTTATTAAATACTTAACTTATATAAATATACTTAAGAGAGCTTCGACGTTTTCTTCTGGGTGTTAAAATCTTCGTGGAAAGATTAATATATCCTGTTCAGCGTACGCTTTGTTTGCATAAAATAGCGTAACTAGTAAATAAGGAACATTTAACATTTCTAATTTTTAGCTCAGTACTTTCAGTACTATATATACTTTAGGGTGGAGCGAAAAAAAATTTTTTTTTTTTGTTTAGCCTGAAGATAAAATCTAAAATCTGTAGGTTATAACAAAATAAAATATTTGCACAAAAAAGTTTTTTTTAACATCTAAATGCGGCGCACTCAGTTTTAAAGTAAGTTTCAAGTTAAAATTTTTTTTGGACCCGAAAAAATTATTTTGGTTTAAACTCTTTATATTTATATAAAAATTACCGTATGTGACGGTTTTTGACTAAAAATTTATTTTAACTAGGAGGAAAGCATGTTGTCGTTGAAGAATTTTTTTTTAAACTCCAATAATGACTACACAATTTTTTTTTAAGTTGATAACTTTTAATTGGCCAGAAAAAGGACTCTCCACAGTTTCTACAACACTTATCAAAAAAAATTTTACGAAATAAAAATTGTAACTCGAAAATTTACTTTAAAACTGAGTTATTAAAAACAAATTTTTTTTGTCCAAAAATTTTCTTTTTTTTATCTACAAAGTTTACCCTCAGCCTATACATATCTCTGAAGCCTAAGCATTTTACAAATTTTTAACCTTTTGTTAATTACAAGAAAGCTTGGTTATGTGCCTTAAACTTCGCTAGCTGCCATGTGCGAGCATATACTTGCGATTTCCTCGCACATACAGGCTTTTGATTGCAATGTTGGTGGGTGATGATTTGTCTCTTCGTGCCGCTTTGTGGCACTTTAATGTGCCACAAATAGTTGACGAGTTTTTCGTGTTGGTATTTATTGGAATTTTATGATTATTTCCATTTTTCAATATTCTGCTTTATCACGCCGTTCAAATATACATACATACATACATTGAAAATGGAAGTTATAAATATTCGTTGATACGATATATATGAATGTACATATATACATATGTGCCTGCGCGTTTGAGCGGGGGCACAACATGGCATGTTGTTGTTATTTAATGTGAAAATGAAGTGGGTATAAAGAAGCGAAGAGCAAAAGTTCAGCAAAGCAATTATTGGACTGAGTCATGACGGAATGATTTATGGTCGCATAGGCATTTTTATAGCTTTTCAACGTCCAGCGGAGCCGGTCAACATGTGCGTGGGCGTAAAGTTTTAATTGAAAGTACTAGCACAACTTAGATGTGCATATGTAGATATATATAAATATAATATATATATATATATATATATATATGTGTGTTTTCATCACGACCGATATTAATATTGAGTTCTAAAAATAGTTACCTAACTCATTGTTAATTACTTTAGTTTTAGTACGTACTAGTGAGCCGTGTGTCTTATTTCCGTGCAATAAACTGATATTGTTTAAGTGCTGCTAGTTCCAAACATATACATATGTAACTCTCTAGTATCTAATATATCCCCAGCAGCAATTTTATAGTATGCACTTTGTTCAGGTTCTCCGCTTTTATAGAAAAAATATTGATTCACCGACGTATGTTATCTTTCTTCAACAACTTTTCGTACTTGTTCTGTTTTATTCTAGTCGTGAAATTTTTGTTATTGTACCGAAATGTTACAACAGATAATGATTCGAGATTATATCTAGTGGTTAGGTGTCTTACTTGAATTTGGAAGCGATACTTCATCCAGTCTCATCTTACCTTACCAAGCCCGTTAAATATATTCGGCATTGGTATTTTTCTCATCATAAAAGTAGTCACCAGGCTATAAGAGTCAGTAAAGCTAATTCGAATGCAAAAATATTTATGTTCTGTCAAGTCTTAAATCCAACATTGAAATGCGTAGAACTGGAAGCAAATTTGAGTAGAAAATCTACACTATCTTCCTCTTCTCTACCATAGATAGATTAATATGAGGTTTTGCACTGCGACCTAGGGTCTATTGTGCCCTTTCTCTACCATTGTAGTGCTTGTAATTTTTTAGCCTGCAATTGTAGCAGTCTTCGATTCACCATTTCTCTGCTCGCTTCTGCTCTCTTGTAAAAAAAATTATATGTAAAAGCAATAACATTTCTATCAAGTTGAATTCGTACAATGGAGTAAAACTGGTATAACCGCCATCTTCAATGCTTCCAAGTTTTATTTTGCTTATAATAGATCAGTGCTACTATTGTGAATGATTCAAAAATAAATGAAAATAAATGAAAAAACAAATTTCTATTTTTTTGTCGTTTTAAAACTTCAGATTTAAAATAAACTATAGTCATTTATAGAAAAAAAAATTTCGGGTTATTGCAACGTTTTTTAATGCGAAAAAAAGAGTTTCTCCGCAAAGAAAGAATCATAACACTATTGCGCATGTCTCAGAAGACTTGTTAGTGCAGGGTTACAACACAAGTGCTGCCCGTTAGTTTGAGCATCTGGTATAGTTTGTTCGATTCGCTACTCTCTAACGTTTGGCAAATCGAAGACTGCTTGTACATATATACTATAGTTCGGTATTTTTCTTTTAGATTTTTTTTTTTTTTTGAATCTGCCACTCGTCCTGACATCAGTTAGTTTTTAAGCGAAAGAATTAATATTCTCTTAATTTTTTCCT